ACTGTCACTTGAAACAGCCTTGCGTTTTAAGCGGAAGTTCGCATCTATAGTGAGGAATAATCCATATAACCACCTAACAGTACTTATATCAGTAGAAATTACCCTCTGGACTGGAGCTCACTCTAAACTTACTGTCAAGGAGCATCTTTCCAACCAGCTGGGAGATTCTTCCCTGGGTGTGGGCACGCCAGGCACAATACAGTACATTCACCCTCAACTGTCCCATCTACACCACTGGGATTGTGACCTCGCTCCGAGCACTTAAGCATCTTCAAGTGGCGCCACTCGCATATCATCTGTGTAAATGAATCATACTGATCCTGGAGGAAGCTGGATTAACTTTGAAGGTACCTAAAAATTAAGTTTACCTTGATGGGAAGTAAGCCAGTGTTATCGGACATCCAGCTGAGCGCATTATAAAATTCAAAGGCAGATACTTTTGACTCAAATGAGAGTAGGTGATAGTGTTCAAGAATGCGGAATGTCGCAGCAGTTTTTGGATCTGATGTTGTCGAAGGAAACCACAATATTTGAAGTAGCTGTTGTATATGGCTTTGGGCTGTTGCGCAATTGCAGAAGTCGAGAGATACTTCCTGTATGCCATGGGTGTCAACAACAATAAAATCATCATTGAATGTGCGACGAGGATTAAAATATATCTGGCCAGTGGTGTGGCCAAGCTGGATGTGAAGGCCCAGGGTTTTCAGAGAGATTTGCTCGAAGTATTGACCATTCCATTTCTGTATTGATATTAGATATTAGCCTTACATCCTCATCTCCCAATCAGACATGAAAGCATACCTCCAATTTGTGAAGCAGGTGGTGCACATTAGCCAACAGGATGCAAGGTGAACAATAGATCTCTGACCCTAAGCAGTCCTGACACCTGTACTCTGGGCTGGGACAATTACACTCTGAGCAAGATTGAGCGGCAAGTCTATTACATCTTCCTTCAAGATGGATCATTTCCTGCAGAAATAATTCTCAGTGCTTCAATCACATCAACAAAGGATGATCCTGAATAATGGTGAGTGACATATCAAAGGACTCAGAACATTATAGTGTACATACACCTGCTGTTCGTTTTCTCTTTTGCTGCCCTAAAAAGTCCAATGATACATTGAGCGGGAGATCATCGAATGGCTCAGGAATTGACAATGGTGCCGCATCATGCAGAGTCAGTGCTGCGCAAGTTCGATTATTAGTGGTAAACATTGAGCTTGGGTTTCTTTTTCCATCTCTTCGGTACTCTGGACATTACTTCACAGTATATTGTCTGGATTGAAGATGTCCCTGCCTCAGAAGAGCCGACGGCATAAGTAGGATCTGTAGACATTCTTTGTTGGTTTCTGCGCTGATTGTCATGGTGTTGAGCGAAGAGTATTCATCCATATTGACCTCACATTTATGGTTCAAGTCATTACCAGAAAAAAAATCAAGTGTTCATTTAGCAGAGAATGAACATGACAGACATGAATAAGTAGTCAAAGACTAACAAATGAGATTGATGCATGCAGATATGATGGGCAGAGCTGTGTGAACCAAATACGGTGCCACAAACAGACATGTTTAGGGCCGGAATGAATTTTTCACTAGCGATGATGTCCAAATAGTGATGATGCCTTAAAGCTGGCACTGAGATGTCAACCAATGCTACCAAATGAAGTATGGTATCGAACCTACTAGTGTGTCACCTGCTTGCTGCAAGCCTACGTCAGATGGCACAATGAACTTTCTGTTCTCCCAGGACAAGTGACTGAACGGTAAAGTATGTAGCAACATGATTGTCTGGTGTCTGGAGTTCAAATTTCATGCTATCCCTATGGCAAGTGTTACATATAACAGAGAGTTAATGAAAACGTGAAAACTCGCCAGATGTATGATGGAAAAACTCCGATGTAGCAGCCCTGAGTAACGCAATAAAAAGGGGGTTCTAGATCATGCTGTGAAGGCATATTATAGAATATTCCTTGATAAGAGTATAGAAAGCACTCTTCTGCCATAGCGTTCACGGCCTCCTCAAACTCTAAACTGCCCTCATGCACAGTCACAAACTCCTTTGGTTTGACCATGTAGGGCATCATGGCAATATCGAGCCAAAGGGGATCGGTGGATCTTGCATTGAGAGATATCCTGGGAGTGGGTAAAATGAAAGACACTATGTTCTTTGGGTATGTCCTCAGAAATTCCTCCATTAATAGTGAAAGACTCACTCTGCATCATGAACATCGACATGGTGGTAGTATTTCTGGTGCTTTCAATGTCATATTTAACAGTCACTGGGTCAATACAAAGTTCTAGAGAAAATTGCTGGTGGTAGTTACAGTAGTTTTTGGTTTAGTCTTATGAACCACTACCAATGATATAGCGGTACACTCACCCCGGACATTAACATTGATATCAAAATTTGCTTAGACCTAAACGGTGTTATTGGAAATTGATTTGCGGTGCTTGGAATCACTGGTACAATAATTTCAGACAGTATGAGTCACTGTATATAACACTGATGCATCACTGATGCATCACTGATGCATCTCTATGATTAATACAATATATTGATATCAGGAGCAGTATGGTATAGTAGCTCATTGCGTGAAGTATATCCTGTAGGTCAATCATGACATGCGTGAGCAGAACACAAGTGGTGGCCAGGATTCCTAGTACGAGGCGAAAATTCACTGGTTGAAATTGGGACTGCTCGGGTTCTTTGCGATGACACTAAAGATGTCGACCTAGTTGAAATTTGGATTGTTCGGGTTCTTTGCGATGACACCAAGAATGTTGACCAGTTGCTGGAGGACTTGTCAATAGACAGTGTGAGATTTTGACATACAGTGACGATAATGTGCATTGTACCATTTCAACATCTGCAAGGTCCTGTTTGATGTAACAGTTAGATATAAAGTTGTCAAATTATCAGTAAAGTGTGACTCACCGCTCATGCTGGTACTACCAATGTTTTTGTGAAAGTCTTCAACTGCTTTTGGGTGAGGGTATCAGCACTGACATTGGTCAGATGGTTTTGTAATGTTCATTATGGATTGAAACATACCAATGGTGCTCTTGATCATATTTTGGTTTGTTCTTCTTGCTGATGATGATGGCACAGTTACTGTGTCTTTTGGTACACATTAGTAGCTAGAACAGAGAGAGAAGTGCGCACTTTGCATTTGAATATCTCTTGTGGTAAGAACAAGCAGTGTCGAGTTGCCAGTCTTTCAAGTTTGGTGTGTGATGAAATTAAGGCTGAAGCGCTGACTGAGTATGGCTATGCCATTGTTACCGCAATTGGCAAGCAAGAACTGATGCAAATCAGCCATTTGGTCTCATTATACATCAATCATATAGTACTAGTTAGATCAGCTCAGAGTATGTCTGCAGGGGTTCTACCTTGCACAATGATCTCGATAATAGCCAGATTAGTTATTGAACTGGTCATCTTTAGGCTCAAGTGCGACACATGATCATGTTCAAGTTGGAACTCAACTTGAACGTTGCAAACACTGCGAGTCAATAACTACTATCATGCACACTATGGCACATTGCATTGGACTGGTTCCTGTATCCACTAACTTATAATGTCATCCAGGTGGGTCTCTAGTTGCTGGCCAATATGACACAAATATACTTACTGAAGTACTAGCCGCAGCACAATGCTTACAATTACCTTTGATTTCGATTCTGATGTTCAACCTTCTATATCAATGCCCAGGTGATTCTCTCCTTCAAGTTGCTCTCAATGCGATGTTCTGAATGAGAGTATAGTACATGTTCGTTTCTCAACACTCGAATGTTCAATTACCTTTCGGATTTCGATTCCGATGTTCAACCTTCCATATCAATGCCTAGGAAGTTGGAACTCAATGTTGCAAACACTCCGGGTCAATAACTACTATCATGCACGCTATTGCACATTGCATTGGACTGGTTCCTGTATCCATTAACTTCTAATGTCATCCAGGTGGGTCTCTAGTTGCTGGCTAATATAAGACAAATGTACTTACTGAAGTACTAGCCGCAGCACAATGCTTACAATTACCCTTGATTTCAATTCCAATGTTCAACCTTCTATATCAATGCCCAGGTGATTCTCTCCTTGCTCTTGATGCGATGTTCTGAATATGAGAGTATAGTATATGTTTGTTGCTCAACATTCGAATGTTCCATTACCTTTCATATCAATGCCTAGGTGATTCTCTGCTTGCTCTCAATGCGCTGTCCTGAACTTATCTGAATATGAGAGTATAGTATATGTTCATTGCTAAAGATTCGAATGTTCAATGTCCAATGTCCAGGTGATTCAGTGCTTGCTCTCAATTGTGCGGTGTCCTGAACTTATACATTCAATGTCCAGGTGATTCCCTGCTTGTTCTCAATTGTGCTATGTCCTGAACTCATACATTCAACATCCAATGACCAGGTGATTTCCCACTTGCTCTCAATTGTGCGATGTTCTGGACTTATCCTATTATGAGAATGCAGTATATGTTCATTTGAACATCGTCTAGGTGATTCTCTGCTTACTCTCAATGTGAGGTGAACTTATTGATTTACCGCTTGCTCTCAATTGTGCGATATTCTGAACTTATGCATTCAACGTTCAATGTCCAGGTAATTCCCACTTGCTCTCAATGTGATGTTGTGAACTTATCTGATTATGAGAGTACAGTATGCCATGCCGTTCATTTAAACCATCATCAGTCATGGAATGAAAAAATTGCCTTGTAATTGGTTCATGTAGTAAGTTCATTAAATTAGCTTCCTTTTTCAATGGGTGATGTTAATCTGTTGTTTGGCAATGAGCCATATAAAGACGGACATAGACATTGTGAAGGGACACACTCGTCTATCATCGTGCGAAGTGAAAAAAAAGGTATGACAGCTCCACTATTAGCATGGCGTATGACTGAAAATTCTATGGCAGATGCCGCCAGCTAAGTGGACTACTATGGAACAGTACCTATAGCTCCAAGAATGGTTCCCGGAGTATACTGCACTCCATGATGGGGACAAGGAATACATGCTCTTCTGGCTTAAGATTTATCTTCATTGGTTTAGGAGATGGCCTGAGTGAGCTATTCTCTTCCCGTGTATCCCTACTAAAACAATATTAAAAAAGGAGCAACAAACCACAGAAACTCATGCCGAGGATTCACGTAAAGTTGTAAGTTGTCAAATGTGTTGACAATTTTTGACTGCTAATGCAAAACCCTGGTAGCAATTACAGACCTGGTTTCGTTGGCGGACAAATGCATCCAAGAAAAATCACGGCTTAAAGAAGGATATGTCCATCTTTGAAGCTGCACTGGTACCGAAGTCACATACAAAATCCACTGAAGAGATATACATGGACATGGTCTATAATGAATGGATCAAACCTCTCATCAAGGCCGAACAAGAGGCAGGTAACATAAGTACAGCTGGCCAGCGCATGGCATTGGGCCGAAAGTTTTGCAAGGAGCTCCTGGAAGACAAGTCAGACCAGGTTAAGGATGAAGTGAGAGAGAAGTATGATAAACAGAAAAAGGTAAAGAGGGTCATGTTAGACAATGAAGATGACAATGATGAAACTGATGCTGATGCCATTGCAAAGTAAGTACTGGCTTATGTTTGTGATTTTGATGTACTCACACGACCTATAGAGCTATCAATGATTTACCAATCATATGCCAGCGCTTTGCATATCTCATCAAGAAAAAAACTCAATTCATAGTCTCCTTCATGTGTGCCGGACCAAAGCCGAGGCATGATTGGGACATTGTTTCATTATCGTAAGCGCACCAAACTAGAAACATGACTAATGAACTCACACTACTAAGGTGCCATCCATCAGAAACCCCCGCTGGGAGTAATTTTTCTCAATTGTGCCCCAACAAGGACAACACCTTCCTTGCAGCATACCAGCAATACGCTGAGTTGATATTCCATAAGCCAATCTTTACTGTCTAAATCACTGTAGACTCACCCTGATACTCATCCATCAGCTGTGAACAAGCGTGACACTACTGCCAGGTGTTGAAGATGACAATGAGCTTGAAGAGCTTGAAGGATGCGACAATGGTGAAGAGGATGGAGGATGTGATGGTTCCATGGATTGGAATATTCCAGGTCTTTATATTGTTTTATGCCCGCCTGATGCAAGCTGATGCATCAATGTCAGGCTTTGGTAATACCAAAGCTGGCATCAGTGATGCATCATCATTCAATGAACTTGATCAATCCGTGTTTAACTCCGAGGTAAGGCCATTTCATTATCCTGCCTATGTTATCTAACGGTTTTCCGACCCAGGCCCAATCTAATACATCATTTGAACAGGCTCAGCCTGATGCATGGTCAGGTTTTGGTAATTTCGAAGCTGGCATCAGTGATGCATCATCACTCAATGAACTTGATCAATCTATGTCTAACTCCAAGGTAAGGCTGTTTCGTCATCCTGCCTATGTCATCTAACGGTTTTCTGGCACAGACCCAATCTAATACATCATTCAGACAGGCCCAGCCTGATGCGTCACTTGCACAGCCTCAACTTCACGCATCATTTGATTGGCACAACATTAGTACACTGCCTCCCGATCCAACTAGTGTGCCTGGGCTGAATGAGGTGTTCGGGTCATTGAACCTCTCACCAAGTCTGGTGAAGTAACGGAGACATTGCATGCTACTGCTGATGAAGGCAATATGTTGGGTCATTTGACTGCCTCCCAACTTGACTATGGGCAGCATGATTCCTGCAAAGTACATCCAAGACATCTTAGTATATTCTCACTTTCTTAATGCTAATGGACACAGAAAAAGGCGAACGAAGGCATAAGCCCATGTCTTCATGTCATGATCACAAATTTGCTTCTTGTACCATAGTAATGTTTGATGCTGTTAGTAACACATGTAGTCTCTGTTTTTCTCATGATGAATACAGTTGTGTTGTCAATTTAATCCCCTTAATAAGTGGTATATCGAGTGCGCCTGTACAGGCAGGCAGCGCAGAATTGAATTGAAAATGTCATCAGTCATGTGGGTCTGATAGTATCTTGTTTCAGTTGTTTGGAGTAAGGTTTGCTGGAGGTAGAATACAGCTAACTGACTGAAATTTATGAGATACAAGGTGTACATACTACAATCAATCTCCAAAGTTCGAGAGTGTAAACTAGTACATCATATGATGTTGGCTCCAGTCTGTGCGCTCACAAGAAATAGTTGGGACAGACATTGCTGCTTCAGCTGTGTACATCATGGTGGGGTAAACACTATGGTAGAATATCAGTTCATGCAGCCTGAGACTACCACTTACTTATAGTGTGCTGAGAATAACATGAGTTCGGGTAAACATTGAAGTGCCTCAAGACACTTTGAGAATGTGCAATTGATATGGGGTTCAAACTTCGGAGTGTCACAGACCTGTGCTTGAAAGCGACTGTGCTGAATGATGTCTAGCTCGCATATGAAGGAGAAGTCAAGAAAGGATGCAGTGGTAAGTTCAGCATATAGCCATGGGCCCGCTACAAAAAGGGTCCGTGCACAGCATATGGCAGCGAGCAGGTGGCAGTAGCGGGATGTGGACCCATATCGACCATGTACAACCATATGACGCTTCCCTTTTTTGACAGTTTGATGGATACTGATGATGGGGCTGCAAGAAGGATCTGTGTGGAGTGTTTGGAGGTGACCAGGTGGCGGCGGGATGTGGACCCATACTGGGAGGTATTGTTGATCATGTATGAGCGTGGGATGCTTCCCTTTTTTGAGAATGTTGATTTGATGCATTAAGTACTGATCACCTGTGTGTCACCATTAATACTACTGATTAGTAATGTTGATGCAATAGGATCTTCCTTACTAAGTAGTAGGGTTTACTTCTGCTGCAGCACTCAGCACTTCCCTTTGTAAAATAAAATATCTCTGGTAAATAGTGTCTTAAAACATATGTGATATAATCTGCCTATTTCCGAGTGGCCGAATTACCGAGAATTACCGGTGGCCGCTATTTGCCGACTAATGCCCCACCACCTCACAATCATTTCCCACGACGTCTCAACCACCTTGCTCATCACCACATACAACGAGCTCTATCAACGTGCTCAAATCTTACTCGTTTTTCTTGGTTCTTTCACGCATTGACTTCGATAAGGTATGTCATCCATTATTTCTTTGAATTAGGTCTAAAACATACACAATAGTTAACTGGTAAGTCTCGCCGCTGCCCGCTTATTAATCTTCTAGCTAGAGTGCTTACTGTCAGCGCCTTCCCTCCCAGTCCACTCTCCCACCTCGCCAGCCAGCAACATGCGCCATTCCAAGTGCATGTTGACCTCTTCGTGGGTGAAGATGTCAGTCCTCAATTCATCTCACTCGCTTCATACCACTACGGCTTCACCAAGTCAAATATGGCACAAAAGGCTGGAGGACAAGGGCAGGTGGGCAGACAATACAATGAGGAGAGGAACAGAGGTGGTCAACATAAACTCAAGGTGAGTAGTGTTGTACATTGCCCTCTTTGCCATGCTTATGATACAACACTGCTGCGCGCCCATCACTAGAGTTGTACTTGAGACAGCACACAAATAGTAGTATTGCATTGCGACGAGTGAAGAGAAGACAGCGATAAGCTACCTTTATTTAAACATTCTAGTCTGAATCTGATGAGCTACTATCAGAGTCGTCATCCTCGTCCTCAGTGTCTATGTCTATGGTAGCATGGCTCATTTTGGCTCTCTTCTGCTTCCTCATCACATACACTAGTTCACCCCTGGCATGGCACTCTCGGTTGAGCTGCATCCGTGCTTTACGATCATCATCAGGCAGAGTGACCCAATGGCATGTCTCCTTGTCTAAGGCTCCCCATAACTTTTCAACCTTGTTCCTGCCACCTACTTTACTTGGGTTGCGCACTGGACCAGAGAGAGGCCAATTCACCAGCTCGACACCATGGTGCTCGACAATTTTGCATTCATAGTTAGTATAGTTCATTTTAACTGAGCATTTGATGTTTTTCTTGAGCATAATAGACTCTGTTTGAGTATCAGCATAATGTGTGTGACCTTGAGGTCTTCGATCCCCCCGTGCACTACAATATAAAAACCCTCCATGCCAGTTCAAGCGCAGAGTGCCATCCACTGAGACAATGATCAGCTGAGTCAATATAATAAATGAAAACAAATACTACATACTTCATGATCCATTGAGGCCAATGAAGCATTAATGTCATGTCGAACTGCCTTTGGGTTGGCCCGAGCAGTCCATTGCTTCTGTTCACGTGCCTCGAGAATCTGTCCTTTGTAGACTTGTTTCTGTGCAAAGGTGAGCTTGGAGTAAGTATGGTCAAGCTCTGTCTTATTCTGAGCAATGAACTCTGTGAGCTTGAAACACTCGCCCTTTTCACAATCTGCATGAAAGTAAGTCCATTGATATAGCCAACACACTGAGACAAAGACATACCTTCATTGGCCTCCTTGAGTTGTGCTCGTACAAAGCCATTCCATAAATTGACACCCTGTCGCTGCTGAAGCAAGCAGCTCTTCAAGAATAGCTAGCTTCAAGTCCATTTTAGTGAACTAGGCCCATATATGAAGTTAGCAATAAATCAGTTCTCCAATACATTGACCTTACCGTCCGTGTGTTTCTGCGATATGGATGGCTTCCTGTACATACCCAGACTTCGTGGAATCAAGGGCAGTGGTCAAAGCTTCCAGTCAAGCCCGATGTTCTGCTTTTTGAGCCACTGACAACCTCGCTCATGAACGTTGAACCTTTCCCAGGTGAGCCATGTGTAGTATACAATGAGAATAAAAGCATTGAGATCAACTTACTTTATATTGTGTTGCATAAATCCAGAGTTAGAAAGAACTTCCAGTAACCAGAGGTCAAGATGAAATCAAATTTTCATAGCTAAACCGAACCTAAAATATGACATTCGAGTACATTGCAACTTGATTCACACCGTAGCTATATCAAACAAATTGCTCGGGTACACTATACTAAGAAATTAACCCGGGCCCACAAATAACCGAGTCGAAACTTACGAAGATAATGATTACTTGCATTGGCCATCACAGCGAGGATTGATGCCATGCGGTCCTCTGGAATGTCCAGTTTCGCAAGAATAGCTTGCCATGCAAAGGGTTCGTATCCACTCTTTTGTTCAATGCACCTCCAAATCTCACCCATTGTCATGGGAGGAACTTTCAAGTCCTTAAGACGGGCGTGAATACTTGCTGAGACCTGATTAGCCTGTGCATCTGACGGGCCCTCCGTCAAACGGGGATCAGCGGTGAGATAAATATGATTAGTGATTGAGATCCCTTGGTCATTTCCTTGCGTAATGCACACGAGATTTGGAGCCTGAACTTTAGCACCAGTAGTCTGATTTCATTTATCTATCAGTTCCATAACCAAAAATGTGTATATTGACTCACAGGCTCATGCAATGTCTCATCCCTCTTAGATCTATGGCGCTGGGTAGCCTTCGCATTAGCACCAGTCTTCTTCTGAGGCTATTTTATCCGAATCAGTTTGACTGCGTAATGTAGTATATTTACTCACAGGATTGTGCTGGGGCTTGTCTGAGTTGGAACTGCATTGCTGAACAGGTGCTCCTTGTGATTTTAATGAAGGTGACAAAGGTGCGATGACGAAAGGAGGAGGGCGCAAAGGTTGTAATGCGACTTCTGACTCGTGTTCCCTCACTGTACTAGTGGGAATCTTCACGATCTTTTTCTTCAGAGATGAAGAAGCAAGGACAAAAGGACGTGATGGTGGTAGTGCGGCTTCCAAGATATGTCCCTTCTCACCAATACCAGTCTTCTGAGGCTGTTTGAGAAAGGCGGTGGGCGTGATGGTGGTAGTATGGCAACCAAATTATGTTCCTTTGCAGGCACTCTTCTCAGTGTCAATGGCGAACTTAGAAGGTATGGTAGATCGTAGTTGTTGTTGCTGTTGCCGTTCTTGCTGTTGTTGCCATTGTTGTTGTTGTAGTTGTCGTCATCAGAATCAGAATCAGAATCAGAAAGTGAATGTAGGGATTGTTACAGTCAAGTACGCCCCTATTCATTTTCCTCCTTTTACATCATTGTATTACATCACGATCGCATCTTGCCATCACTAGATGATCTATTCTTGTTCTCTCTGACTTGTCTTATCTCTGACTTGTCTTATCTCTGACTTGTCTTATCTCTGACTCGTCTCTATTCTTGTTATCTCTGGCTCGTCTCGTCTTATCTCTGACTCGTCTTATGATCTCATCGTACCGGCCCTAAAGTTGTTACCGTTCACTATATAAACTCGTCCTGTACTATGTAGTTCTTTACTTTAATCTTACTAGGTTTTACCTGGAACTTCCTTCGCTTAAGACCTCCAATCTTAAGTCATATTGAACTTGATTCAAGTCGAGGACACTCTCCTTGTCTTGTCTTAGAACATCAAACTTCGGTATACACCAAAGTCTTGAACTGACCTTGGCCGATTACTCTTATCGAGTAGCCATACGTCTGAACTATCCTAGTTCGTAACAAAAGATTATAGTCTTCCACGAATACATCGCTATCACACGTTGTAACTCAGAACAGAACAAACCCTGGTCATCACGACAGATAGAACTCCAGGTCCCCAGAAGCTGAAAACAAGCTGACGTCATTAACACCAATTTTTGGC